AAAAAACTAGCCAGGTGAGGTGGCGGCGCCTGTAGTCCCAGCTACTTGGGAGGCTGAGGCAGGAGAATGGCGTAAACCCGGGAGGCGGAGCTTGCAGTGGGCTAAGATCTGGCCACTGCACTCCAGCCTGGGCGACAGAGCGAGACTGTCTCAAAAAACAAAAAAAACAAAAATTAGCCGGGTGTGGTGGCGCACGCCTGTGGTCCCAGTTACTCAGGAGGCTGAGGTGAGAGGATCACTTGAACCCAGGAGGTCGAGGCTGCAGTTACCCATGATTGCATCATTGTACTCTGCCTGGGGACAGCAAAACCCTGTCTCAAAAAAAAAAAAAAGGTACAGTGGCTCATGCCTGCAATCCCAGCACTCTGGGAGGCCAAGGGAGGTGGATCACCTGTGTTCAGGAGTTCAAGACCAGCCTGGACATCATTGTGAAACCCCGTCTCTACTAAAAATACAAAAGTTAGCCAGGCATGGTGGCGTGCACCTATATAGTCCCAGCTACTTGGGTGACTGAGGCAGGAGAATCACTTGAACCTGGGAGGCAGAGGTTGCAGTGAGCCGAGATTGCGCCACTGCACTCCAGCCTGGGCGACAAAGAGAGACTCCATCACAAAAAAAAAATAAATAAATACATATAATAAAATAAAATAAAATCCAGCACTTGAGCTTGAGAAGTCAGGCAGCCAGTGAAATTGGGCAGTGGGACTGTCTCCAGCCCAGGCCTCACCGGGTTCCAGACTCACGGCCCAGATGCCTCTCCATGTCTCCATCTTGGGGGTCCTAGGGAAAGACCAGGGCCCGACCTCTCCCCAGCCTCCTCCCCAACCCGAGCTGTACCCGCCCCCCAGCCTGCTTCCCCTACCCACGCCTCTCACCCGGGTGGGCAGGCTCTGAAGGGTTCTTCCCCGGTGGTCTCCGACTCTTGTCCTCTGCTGAGACCCCCGCCAGAACGTCCTCCTCCTCCTCTTCCATCAGCAACTCCTCCTCCTCCCCTTCACTGGCTGGGCTCTGGAGGGGTTAGGGGTCAGGGACAGTTGTGGGACCCTTGGCTGGGTGCCCCCTACTCTCCCTACTAAGTCCCACCCCAGCCCTTCGGCCTAAGCCGTAGGTGCCATTGCCCCAGCTGACCACTAGAGGGAGGGAGGGAGCAGAGAAGGTCTTAAGCTAAGACCTCACATTTTACTCATTTATTTATTTGTAATTTATGTATTTATTTTTGAGACGGAGTCTCACTCTGTCGCCCAGGCTGGAGTACAGTGGTGCAATCTCGGCTCACTGCAAGCTCCGCCTCCCGGGTTCACACCATTCTCCTGCCTCAGCCTCCGGAGTAGGTGGGATTACAGGCGCCCGCCACCATGCCTGGCTAATTTTGTATGTAGAGAGAGGATTTCTCCATGTTGGTCAGACTAGTCTCGAACTCCCGACCTCAAGTGATCCGCCCACCTCGGCCTCCCAAAGTGCTGGGACTACAGGCATGAGCCACCACACCCAGCTGACCTCGCATTTTATAATACAAGCCCTGCAACCTAGGGTGAGCACCGCATTTATGCCTAGTGTTCCATTATTGGAACGCCAAGCATATGGGAGCTATTTACATCCAACTGCTCAAAGTCTTCGCCAAGGTCTGATTGCAAAAATTCAAAGAATTGCAACCTCAGGCATAAATGGGTTTAAACTCTCTGAACTCTTTCTTTCTTTCCTTTTTTTTTTTTTTTTTTGAGACAGGGTCTCACTCTGTCACCCAGCCTGGAGTGCAGTGCACGATCTTGGCCCACTGCAACCTCTGCCTTC